TTCCAAAAGAAAATGAGAACGTGACCACATTTATAATAAAGAGCATTCTTGAAAAATAAGTTATGATATTAATGACACATTAAAAAAATGGAAACATGGATGTAAAATATGTATTACATTAATACTATGTATTTTATTTGTACATGAATTATATCTTGACTTCGGAAAAAATATTGGAGAATTATTATATATTTCATTAATCGTATATTTTCATTATAATGGAAATTCTTACTGTATCTATTTTACCTTCCTTAATAGACTGCAACTATAGGTGTCAATTATCATCATAGTGTCTGAGACATTAAATTTTACATATGCAAAACAATGAGAATATCTTTTGTATCGCTGCATTTTAAGCCGTGGATGATACAGCCAATTTTTTCAAATGCTCCATGAATACTTGTAGACTGACATCGTCAGTTAAGACAGGTGCTCCACTTTCCTAAATCATAATAACAATTAATTAGAAATTACAATTGATAATTGTAGAAGTAGAGAGGAATCAAAGAGTTTTATTCCCAAATCCATAGAAAAAAGAAGAAAAGATATTAGAGTTAGTTACAATTGATAAAAATATATTTTAAGAAAAAAGATGTCTTGATGCCAACCACCAGTGAATTGTGACAATACTGCTACAAAAAACTGTTAAAGTGTGTAGAATTTTATGCTTGCTTTATAGCAACATGAAATTGTGTTAAATAATGTCAGATAAATTAAAACGACTCAATATTAATGTTCCTGTAAACTTTCGAAGTAACGATTAATATGTTAGTTATTTTACTACTGTTAAGAAACGTGTATGATAAAGAGAAAATAAATATTTTACTGCATAGATAGATATCAACTGTCTAGGTCTGTAAATTTTTTCGATCAAATTCCATTACCAAAGCAATGAAAGCAAATATAATAAGAGAAATATAATTATCAAATGAATGAAGAACACACCCCACTGGGTATCGGCATCCCCTGGTTGCAGGATCACGGTGATAAAAATGATAATAAAAAAAATTATTAGTTACGTATGATTGATTCATATTTAATGTTGTTGAAAGTAAACAACAAATAAAATAGTTTGATATAGAAAAAATTTATGTTGTAAATGAAACGCATCATTCAGAATAAAAATGAAAAACAAAATATACTTACCGCTCCATAGGCGTACATATTATTGTGGGTTTGACTTGGATTTACTTTACTCAATAAAAATCTCGCTTGTGAACCACCTTGTTCAGTATCAATATATCTTGGTGCAGGAAACCGTTCAGCTAATATTTCAGCGGCATCATCAACAGGCGCTGCTAATAATTGTCTGAAATTCTCGTATTCCGGCAAATCTTGATATTTTAATTGGCGCCATTGTGCAATGGTCTGTAATAAATTAAACTCATTACGATCATATCATTTATTATAAGTAATCATAAGTAATAGTAACAAATAACTACCTCTCCATGGAATATAAGGATTTGGAAGAAAGTATCCATCAATAAAATCCTGTCTGGTTGAATAGACGAAGTATCTAATAAAACTGGTTCTGGGGGACCACTAAATCCATAACTATACAAAATTGGCTGCACCATTATTAAAGAATTTGTTAAATCTTCTCGCATGAGCATATGTCTGTAATATGTAAAATTCGATTAGTAACGAAGCGTTTCGATTGATCGGAACACAGAAGTACAACAGCTACTGACCTATAAAAACTAGTTTCATCGGGGGAATTATTAAATACTTGTAAGAATTGCGATCTACGCAAATGATACATAAATTGAGGATATAAAGAGAAATTCTCTGCAAGTCTAAAACTGTTTGGATCATCTTTTGCGTATTCTCCGAATTTCTGGCACTATTACAGAAATCCTTAACGTTAAAAAAATTACGTATGCCATATAAAATATTAAATGCTAATTTAGTAAAAAATATGAACCAGTCTGATAAGCATTCGATCGACCCATCTTAGAACATCTGGTCCGTCATCACTCTCCGCTTTAAATACCGCTAAACGTGACATAAGAACAGCTGCTGCTTCTTGATCAAAACCAGCACTTATATGATGCAAAGATGTTGATGCATCCGCCCAACTGTAATGAAGAATATTGTAATTTAAAATACAATAATATCTAATAATTGGATGATTATATTAACGTACTTTCTAGCGATTGTAGTAACTCTGATTCTTCGTTGACCGCTACTATGTTGATACTGTGTGATGAACTGAATGCAGCCCCTTCCACCTTGAGGAATCGGCGCAGTATGTTGATTAACAACCTCGAAAAACAATGCTGTAGTACTGGATGGCGTAAGGGAACAAAATTTCCACTGACATGTTCCACCTAATCCTACTTCCTGTTCTCCGACACTCGATCCTTTTACGCCCAGAGACACACAGGGTCCAATCGCACCCGAAACTTTGATTTCTCGCGATGTCTTTACTTCTAATGTCGCATTAAATGCCATTTTCAAGTCGCCTTTATGATCCTTAGCGAACACACGTTGGAACGTTTGTTTAAATAGAGAAGAATTGAAAGAATCTCCCATGACCATGTGACCACCTGTTGAGTTACAACATTGTCTCATTTCTAACAGACCGGTTTGATCGAGAGCGCATGAGTATATATCTATTATGTGGCCATTGGTTGCGGCTCGTGACGCGAGAGAATCATAGTGTTTAGTCGCCTTTTTCATATGTTTGGCGTTATCTTTTTGAATATCATGGTGAGATCTAATAGGCTGTCTTAAGTCGTCCGTTACGACTTGACCTGGTCCTTGAGAACAAGGCCCACCGACAAATAACATTATTCTGAAAATAATAGTAAAATATACTCAAAACACTTAAATACAATGTTTACAAATGAAATGTGTACCTAGCTCCTGTATTAGCATAACTGGCTTCCAAAAGACCAGTAGCAACGGCTAGTGCGACACCAGTTGATCGCAATGGACGTTTTCCCGGACCGATCGGCCATGGATCGCGTTGTAATTCTCCCAGAAGGTCTGTTAAACTCATGTCACACTTATGTACAGGCTGTAAAAAGCGATTAGCTGGCGGAAGTGGTTGTCCACTTGGTCCTCTTTGTTGATTTGGATTTTGACCCGGCATTGGTCTGCCTATACCTATAACATTCTATAATAAATATTTACTCTACATTGTTTTATTCTATTATAGAAAAATAAAAATATGTACCCAACATATCTTGGACTTGTTTTGGTTGTAAATCCTTAGTACCCCGAAAAACATAACTTTTACTACATCCTTCACAACCTAGTTCATGAACTTGGACCATTCTTCCAAATGTAATAAGACCAATTAGGGCATTAGATGGGAGCAGAGAAAGTGACATTTGCAATGAATCTTTGAGGGAACCTAGTTCTTCATCATCCATACATGTATCCACGACCAACAAGAAAATAGGAGGCAAGCATTGTGCTCTCTGTATAAAAATAACAATCAATATTGATCCTGTGGATCAATAAAAATACTGCTTCACCTTGATTTATAGATATTATTTACCATTATGGTATATTCAATTGTCGAAAACTTCGGTATCAATTCAGCCGGCTGATGTTGTTCTGAAATAGCAGCATATTGTGGAGGAAACTGAAAACATATTAAATATCAAAATATTATTTTATTTCTTAAGAGAAGATAATTTTGTTTAGTTTTCAAAACAAAATGACTTGGTTCTTACAGGATTCCTCTGAAAGCAAAGGTTGCACACCCATAGCTTAGCACGGTAATCCACCTGGCACAGTGGATTCAAAATTGCTCTACAAGTAGATCTTGTACAAAGAACAGGATCATACTGTATTGGTGGAAGATCTGGCCTTTCTTTGATCGGTTGGTAAAGTGTTCCTAATGGCACGACAAGTCTGGTGGCATCTAAACGTGAAGAAGGCCAAACATTCCAAGTGATACGTACTCCATCGCGGTCTTCATTTTGTTGAATGAAATCTTCATAAGTAGTCATTTTTCTATGATTAACGAATACCATATAATAACAAATTCAACTGATATTTAATTCCTATTATACATACAGTTTCTAAATATGTGACAAGTGTAATGGTGCAATTAGTGATTTTAGGTTAAACATACCTAATTAAATCGACGTTTAATTATTGTTTCCCGACAATGAGTTTGAAAGTATCTTAAATAATCTCAACTATCAAATTCTCATAGTTACAATATTGTTTTACAATTGTATTAAAACGACACAATTTCACCGTAACAGCACGACTCGTGCCGTCATTGAAGCCACGTCACTTGGGAGCTTGGAAGAATTACTTTGACGCATGCGTGCAGCGCTTTGATATCACAGGCGGTATTCGAACGTGAATTTGTAAGTAAACAAAAATTTGGAATATTTAAAAAGATAACCCTTTATAATGCTTTATATCATTCCTCTATTTTGTCGTTAGAACGAAAGATGTAAGCTAAATGTAAAGAGAACAATAAATGTGTCTAAGTACATTGACAACCTCACAATGCAATTATTTTTATTTTGTGGAACTGCGAAGTTCCAAACTTAACAGAAATGTGCATAGAATCCGAGGAGAATTATAATCGTGATATAATTTGTCAAGTACATCGATAAGATAGGTAATCCTCTTTTTAATAATAAATAATGCATTAAAATTTTTTTGCATTTTAAATAAACATTTTATTAAAGTCTTTGAAAACCCAAAGGCTATTAGGTTATTAGCTAAGTTGTAAAAAGAAACAAATCTTTTTTTTGTTAAATGCTTGACCAGTTAATAATGTTCTATTTTAAGCTGATTTCCTAAGAAATAGTTCTTAGTTGTATCTTTTTTTTAACAAACTGATGATATTTATGTTTTAGCATTTATTTCCAAATAAATGTGAGGATTTACATCGAAAAATACATGCACGTGGCAAGTTTGAAAGCGTGCGTAACAGTAATTATAAAAAGTGTAGCATAATTAGCGTAATATAATACGATAATATGTTTTTAAGAACTAAAAAGTAAAGTTCGCGGTGTCATTCTAGAACTAATCATGTTTTGTGACAACGAAATGGTAGGGATTCATTCAACCAATCAGCCACAAAGTGATAACGACCGATTCCGAATAGAATAGAGCAGGCCGAGTGTTTACCGTCCTTAGTCCTTATTTACTATTATCTATTATGCACTACTCATGCTGTAACGTGAATTAGCAAGTTTAAGCTTTATACGAGTCAGGAAGTCAGTATTCCAGCGTACGCGTTACGATACGATATCTGTTTGAGTCTCCATGTCACGTACATCGCGAGTGTTGATCCACGGCTAACCTCTGACACAGTGTATAATATCCCGTAAAAATGGATAAAAGGTAAGACGCGATGTTTCTCGTGGTTCATAAGATACATGGTTGTCAATTTGTATAATTTTGATGAATCTTCAGCAGGTTAGACGCTTCGAGGTTAGAGAATCGTGAGGATGTTATTAGTCATTCCAAGAAGAACAAAAAACGACCCAGTAAGAAAAGCAGTATGCTTAGCTCGTGGACGAACAACTTTCAAAACGACCAAAATAACGATATAGTACCTGGAATGGAGTATCCACAGTTATTGTGGCAGTCTAACATGCCGCAAAATTTTCAGAACAATGGACAACGTCTCTTTACTACAACATCTGACCCTAGCATGTGTGGTTATACGCAGATGCCTATGACATACACCATGGAGCCTGTTTCACTACCAACCATGTATAGACTGTATCAGCCGGTGCCAGTCTCTGGTATAAGAGCCGTTCACAGTAGACCCCGACGACATTGTAATCAAAATCAACCATTGAACTTGAATATGAACTCTATGGCAAATGGTTACACGAGTTTACAAGAAAATGGGGGAGGATCTCCTGTCCCTGCTAACTATCAGAACGGAGATTACGCGAGTTTGCCATCTACTGCTAATAAGAACAATGGAATAAATGGAGACGAGATAAATTCAGAGCATCGGAGGTATTCAGACCCTGGTCTTGGGTCTGCGGAAGCACCGGTACAGAGTCAGAGCGAAGACTCTGATAGCGCCGACAGTGGTAGCTCCATTACTACAGTTGGACGTAGCAATAAGTTAGTTCTATCTCTTATCGAACAGGTGAGTAGTTTTTCTTAATAAATAAACATAGATTATAGCCACATAAACACAGGTATATATTTAAGGCATTACAGAGACGTAATCAATAATCGCGTAATTTTGCTTCCAGATGACAGAACTGAAAAAGAGCAATAATCAACTGTTTAAAGAGTTAAACGAAACAAAGTCTGAAATAGGTAGTATGAAGACAAAGTTAGCAGTGTGTAGTTCTTCGGATTATCAACCAGGAATGTTATCAGGTAAATGTTAACGGAAATTGTTATAGTATCTTATTATTAGTACCTCTATTTTACGATACATTTTTGTTACTCTACTTCTATGTTTTTACATTAAATCCGTATAATTAAAAAGAAATTAATCCCATAAATATTTGGATTGTTTCAGATTTTATTCGCGAAATCAGGCAAGCCAACAAAACATACGAGGAGGTACTAGTTTCAAAAGTAAAATTCATGATCGAGGAAAAGCTGAACCAAAGGTCGTTGGAAGTGGCAAATTTAAACGTACGTATTAAACTAACTTATAAAAAATTAATTTCTATTAGTTACTAATTAGTTTCTAAATCAAATTCCCTATGTACTAATTAGCTTCACCCCATACGCTTACTCGTATCACAGTTATTCAAAATACCGACTCATAATCGTGATTCGGTAACGTAAAAGTTTTCCATAAACAAACACAATGTGTTATCGTTATACTAGTCCTTTCGATCGTAGACTCAAGCGTCGATAGGTTTGTGAAAAAGTTCGTTCGGTGTAGAGAAGGCAGGAAACTTCGAAACGGGATAAAAATTCAGCGGATAGAAAACGTGGGAAGTGAAAACAAAGCGGATAAAGAGAAAGGAAGAGAAAGAATCTACTTTGCAGTTAGGCTACGGTAATGTGCCGCTCCGACCGACGCTTTCGGCATTTCCATGACATGGTCATGGACGTATTGTTTGCGTAGCATTCGTACGTTTTGTTTGATTAGGACGGCCAGGTGATCTTCGCTTCTCCCCTCTCTCACCTTTCCCCCTTTTTTCCTTTCTTACAATTTTCCTTCCTCGATTATCATCTGCGCGCGAATTTTCATCGATCAAGTTCGTCCGTACGCGTTTCCTGAGACCCCATCTGTTTTTGTTTGATTATTTATGTACGTTTGCGTTGGAATTTTTATATACCGTTCTTCAAATAAAGACTCCCCTGTTTTTCGTAATATTTATATCGACTGCGCAGCTTCATATTAACAGTAAGAAGTATCTAGAGCGTATTCATATTCATGTCTAGCAGAGAGTTAGCGATTGAAAAGAATGAGCCGCCTTTAAATATATACATACATAGTTTGTTGTTCTCGAGTAATTTTTCACAGCGATCTATTTAATATGAAGCGTTTCACCGAACTTAGTCAACGTATCGTTTATTATTTATGGAAGAGAACATAATTTTTTCCGTATTTCAATCAAGATTGGTATTCTCGTTCGATTAATTTCTTATTATCTAAGAAGGGGATCCGCATACCAAAGTAATCCTCAAATATATCCGCATTTATTCTGTTCATGAGAGATAACGTTCAATTTGAATCTTTGCCTCTTCGTTATTTTATCAATAAAAAATATCTGCTGCTGTTCTATTTTTCATACTTTCACATTAGGTTTTGAGTATTCTTTTCAACCAAAGAGGTACACGAGACAAAAAATCGGTATCCAATTGTATCAGGTCATCCACTGATTAATGCAATATTTTTCACCGCGTATATTAGTCGAGAATAAACAATTATTCAGTGATATATAATCGATCAGTATTTTGCATCATTTTTTAAAATTACTTTCCTCTATCGAGTCCATTCAGTTATCGAGTTTTCTCTCGTGAGTTTTATTCTTTCCAATTCAACTCTCAGCAAAGTCACATTAATTACATAAATCTACCTGACGTAACGTGTGAATCATACTTTACGTAAATGATATATTTCTTGATACGATCTATCTGAGAAATCTGATGCGTTCAAACGAGAACATCTCGTACAAAGAGCCTAGGTATTATATACTTAGACGATACTTAGTATCGTGACTAAAATTAATTCTAAAATTATTAGAAGGATGAAATAATATCTATATCTTCAGCTCCAAGGTCAAATGGAAAAATACAATATTAATTGACACAAAAAACAACCTTCTTCTTCTTCTTCTTCTTCTTCTTCTTCTTCTTCTTCTTCTTCTTCTTGTAGTCTCACAAAAAAAGAAAAAAACGAATCTCCATATTATAGCAACCCCTTCAATTTAAAGACTCGAAACGTACTCTTACTCCGATTGCATTCTCCTGCTGCCATCGCAGTAAAAATCGTCTTCATCCCCTAATTGGTCTCACCGAGGAAACGAAAGGCAGCTTCGTGTTCTCGATAAAAACCCAGCCTGATACCGGAGAACCTAATGTAGACGTAATACGAAATATCCGTGACGTTTGGTAAAAATGATTAGGTTTCACATGAGGGTGTCAGCTACGGGGGTAGAAAGGAAGACGGAGGAAGAGAGAACGCTTCGCCCCGTGTGTTACGGTGCGTCGAGGGACGAGGAAGGGTGAAGGATGAGGCACTTAGCGGCTGTCACGGCCTCTCCCTTGGCCTCCTTCCTCTCCCTCTTTTCCTCTTCTGTCTTCTCGGGTTTCAACCATCCATTAGCCTCATCAGCCGAAGCGATGGCCGTCCGCGCCATGCTAGCCTCTCTTCGTCTCGTTGCCAATCTCCGTAATTGAACCTCCGGGACCTTCCACTTTCGACCATGTAAATTTCTGCCATGTTCGCTTTCTGGCATTTCGACGCGTTTTCACGCGGTCCAAGTGGCCGTCGCGACGATTCACGGAATCCTGTTCTTCGCACCGTCTCGCTATTTTGATTTTCCGCTCTTCACAAAAGGATTTTCCTTTACGTCGGCGACGAATTTTTATCGCTATCGAACAGACCGTTTACGATTGCGAATATTTTATAATCTTAGAATCTGATGTCTTGAAACGAACGTTTCACACGAGGAACGCTCAATTGGTATTTTCGTTACATCTTGGAAAATTACGATCGAAGGACGTTCCCAGTGTTGTTTAATTCTTTGACTATCATCGCAACTGGCGTTAGATGAAGAAATTTAAGCGGATTTTAAGGAATATCGTATAACGTACAATATGTACGAACGTACGTACTTGAAAATCAATTATCGTACCACGTGCAAACGAATATCATAAATGCTTCCTCTCAAAAATATTATTTCTCTTCCACGGCACTTGGTAATTGCGAGCACGTTCTAGAGAATCGTACGAGCAAAGAGATCCAAGCCAGTAAAACGTTATCTGGCGAAAAATTGCAGGTTGCTATGTAAATTGTTTGATTTCTTTCGAAACGTGCCGAGCCATCTTATCTGTGCCGAGTATTATTGCCCCCCCCCTTATCTTTTATCTTTATCCTCGTTTTCTTCCGACGGGAAGAAACTTCGGGAAAGATTTCTTTCGACCGACCGTCTTAAAATTCATTAAACCTGTGCACATCTTTATTTTTATGTCTCTGTATTTCTAATAAATTCACGCTTCGCCAATAATTTTCAAATTATTTCTAAATAGAATAGAAACCTTTTACGTTAACGAAAGAACATTTATGAACGCACGAGTTTCTCGTCGGATCGTTTCAGAATCAAATAATGAAACTGATGGAGGAGAAAGAAGAAAGCGACAGGCGAATAGCAAAACTGGAGGAGGAAGTTGCCATGTTGAAGCTGAACGTAAAGTGAGTACCCAGTTATAGTTTGGCATGATTATTGCAAATTCCTGTAATAAACTTTGCTACTTCTTCATCGTTTCTTCTTTTATCAAATACAGGTTTTGTGGATTGTTTTACACGTGGTTTTTCATCTAGTATGCGTTTCGCACTGAATTTAAATCTTGTAAAATATCATTGATATCGATAGACCACGTGGAATTTCTATCGATCCAACGTATTTTCCAATTGCGATCACGAGCGATAAGCGTGGAATTTCACGGAAAAGTAGCTTTGTCGAAATAATTTATTTCTACGATTTGATCGGTGGAAGCAAATTTGAAATTTGATTTGCCGTCGCATATCGCGATATACTTTCCTTTTCTTTATTACATACTTTTATTGGATCTTTTTCCGAACCAGCGGAAAGATCGTATAAGATCGTAGTCTTTTCATTTTTTATTTTTTTCCAATTTTTTCCATTCTCGCCCTCTGTTTCTTTCGCGTCGTTTTCCCCGTTTTCCTGCATTCGGGCAGGCCGAACAAAATTACGATATTTCTATTATTTATATCGTCTTATCTATTGTTAGATTTCTTTGTCACCTAAAAGGAGTGTTTCGTTAATTAAAAATGTACTTTGCAATTTTACACGTGTTTTTATTTACGACTTCATTGTCTTTTATGGCAGTAGCAAGAATTTATTTCTAATTTGAGCAAAACGTTTCGATGCAATTTTTGTTGATTTAACGCAGAAGATCGGTCACCAACCGTGTTGCTAGAACTTTATTTCTTCCTTTGTCGTCTATAACATATTATAGAAGATATATATACAATATTTTCAATTTTCTTATAGGAAATCTCTGATCACCGAATTAATTACTTTGGTCTATTACTAACAACCAGCATGCAACAACTTGCCTTTGTAGCTCTAGAAGTATTCATTTCTCTAAATAAAATATTACACGAACATTTAACAACCGAAACCATCCGAACTACAAAATTATTAAGCGCACTAACTAACACCTTAGCTAGAACTTCTCAAATAATCACTCGAGCTTCTACCACATTTTTTCCTCTTTTCAGCCTATTCGTTTTTACTTTTAGACACTTTTCTTTAAGATCTTTTAACAAACTAACCGCTAATTTCTGATCTCACAGAATGCTTGCGAGTTGCAATTTATCTCTTATTTTTCAAAACCACTAAATTAATTACCTAGCTGAAATTGCTTTAACTTTCTTCTCTTAGATTTAAGTTTCAACTCGGAATGTCGTTCCCTTTGCAAACTGGTATTCGTCCCTCTTCTCGAAAATCATTAAAAAAAAAAAAACAGTCTTGAAACGTTCATCGCTAAATAGTTATGTATCCAGCGTATTATCATACAGCCATACTCTTCTTTCCTTTCTAAATTTCAGAAAATCTAATATACACGTCGGTATAGAATTTCTCTTTACGGACGTTAGTTACCAAATATAATTATTTAATTTTATCGCAGTAACGTTCTTTCGATTTAAATCACCGAGTAAACGCTTAAACGAATCGCCACTTGTTGCTTAAAAGCTATTTCAAAATCCTCTTAAAGATTTTTCTCGCTAAATGATTACCAAACTAAATGGCATCTATGCGACACTATTCTCTAACGCTAAAACCATCCAGCGAACGCTTACGAATCGTCATTTTAACAGAAAGCTTCTGCGAAAACACTCGCTGTTTGTAAGTGAATTAGTCGAAATTATTGCGGATCACTTGGATATTTAGTAACTCGCCTGTCGCAAACCTTCATCCACTGAACCTGAATTTGAGAAACGCTGCAACTCAGTCTCGAGATTCGAGAGAAACTTCACCCACTTTTAAAAACGAAAAAGAAAAAAAAATGCACGAGACCATCTCCCAGCTTTCTTATCCTTCCATCTTCTCTTTGCACCCGCACTTTCTCAATTATTTACACCCCGCACGTGAAAATGGGACCGCATGCACCAAACACCCACCCACAAAACGCAGAACCAACAAAACACATACGCCGTCTAATGGATAATACGCGCGCGCGATCTCCGCGTGCTGAACACATATGTATATATAAACATGGTGGAAATTGTGTGTTGATTGGCACGTAGCAACGAAGGCCGCGAGATCGCCGCGTTCGAGGAAGAGACTCTGGCGCTGAGACGGGAGCTGCAGGAGGCCCGGGCGTCCAAGTGCCTGGCCGAGAATCACGCGGCAAAGTGCGTAAACGCAAGATCAGTCACGCCTGTCGCTACTTTCGATACTACGCAATCCTACGTAACCAGCACCCCCGTGCGTACTGCTCTATCCGACACCTGTAGCCTGATCCCCGCACCACCGTCATCGACACCGTCGTTGTCCTCGATAGTCCCACAACACATCACCTCGTTACTACGTTCCCGAACCGCGGACCTGGCTCACCATTTCGTCGCGGACAAGACGAACGTTTATCCAACCGTTGATTGTAGCAGTCCGACAACGTCCATCAATGCTTCGTGGTCGTTGGATGATCAGTGTCAGGTGTCTAGCAGTGGTAACCAGTCGCCGCTGATAGTTACCGCTAGCAACAGTTTCGAGCAACATCGCACGGACGTCAGTTTGGACGAGAGCTCCACTTTCTCTGCTTCCGAGCTTGCGTTAGAGACCAAGAGTTGCGATCAACGCGAGGACCACGACCTTGCCCTCGTGGAACATCGTTTGGAAGAGAACTCGAGCTCGAAGAAGACGAAAGACGAGGATACGGCGCGAGACGACGAGCCTAAAACGGATTCGACTACGACCAAGAGCCTTGGCGCGATATCCTCGAACGTGCAAGAGAAAAGGATAAGAGAGTCGAAGAAGGAAGCGGAATTGTCGCGCGTTCATCATCAGAGAGTCGGATCGAAGAAGTCGAGGAAGAAGAAGGGTAGTTCGGTGTCGAAGAGATCGTTCGTCGAAACGGACAAGGGTGGAACGGTCGCAGAGAGGAACGACAGTGGGACGAAAGACGCGCGGAGAACGGTGAGCGAGGACGAAGATCGGAGTCGTCTGAACGGCGGCGACGACGACGTCGACGACGGCGA